AAAGTCCTTCACTTGATTCTCTTGGACAAATAGTTATCTTTAAGGCCTGTCTGCACTGTGACAGAAGCCTTGTGGCACAGCCGCAGCTGGCTGGGTCAGCTGACTGTCTCGCTGGGCTATAAAAATGCAGTGTAGACATTCAGGCTTGGGCTGGAGCCTGGTTCTGGGACCCTGCCCCTCCCAGGGCCTCAGAGCCCTGAGTCTACACTGCAATTTTATACCCCACAGCCCAAGCCCGAGTCGGCTGATCCCGGCCAACTGTGGGTCTTTCACTGCAGTGTAGATTCTAATTCCTAACTTATTAACCCTTTCTTGGCACAGTGGATGAGATTTTCAAAAGTGCCCAAGAGAGCCAGGCACCCTGAACTCTCACTGGCATCAGAGAGAGCTCACCAGCAGATCCTACACACTGCATGTTCCTCAGGGCACAGACCTGCCTTCCATAGTTTGCAAAGCATTGTAGTATTACAGAAAAATAAATGATAAAAACGCTTCCACTCATAGATTCCAAAGCAAGAAGGAACCATTGTGGTCATCTACTGTGACCTCCTGCATAGCCCAGGCCAGAGACCTGCCCCACAATAACTGCTAGAGCAGTACTGTTAGAACAACATCCAGCCTTGATTTAAAAATTGCCAGTGATGGAGAATCCACCACAACCCTCGGTAAATTGTTCCAGTGGTTAGTCACCCTTCTTGTTAAAAAAACATATGCCTTATTTCCCATCTGAATTTGTCTAGCTTCAATTTCCAGCCACTGGATCATGTTAGAGCTCTCTCTGCTAGACTGAAGAGCAAATTATTAAATATTTGTTCCTCATGTAGATACTTCTAGACCGTAATCACGTCACCCCTTAACCTTCTCTTTGTTAAACTGAACAGATTGAACTCTCTGAGTCTGTCACTCTGAGGCAGGTTTTCTAATCCTTTCATCATTCTTGTGGATCTACTCTGAACCCTCCCCAATTTATCAACATTCTTACTGAACTGTGGACACCAGAACTGGGCACAGGATTCCAGCAGTGGCCACACCAGTGCCAAATACGGAGGTAAAAAAAACGAATCCTGAGGGAATTCTGCGCCAAAAAAATAAATATTCTGCACACAATATTTTAAAATCTGTGTATTTTATTTGTCAAACTAACACAATATAATCACACCATTTTCAATTATTTGCTGACAAGTATTTTGAAATAAATTACCAAAAGAATTGAAAACGGTGTGATTATATTGTTGTGTTTCTGTGTTATTTTGACAATTAAAATATGCAGAACTTAGCAAAATTTAATTTTTCAGTGCAGAATTCCCTGAAGAGTACCACGGTTGTGTGTGGCGCAATCTGGAGGCAGACAGCTCGGTGGGGGGGTCTGGGTGCAGGGGGAATGGGACTCTGCCGGGGAGTCCAGGTGAAGGTGGTTAGAGCTCAGGTGGGGGGGGAGGGGAACTGGGGTTCAGGGTGCAGCTGGTTGGGACTCATTGGGATGGGGTTCTGGGTGTGGGAGGCTCCTGATGCAGGGGGTGAGGCTCGGCAGGGTGGAGGTTTGGGGGGCTCGGTGGTGGAGTTCTGGGTGCAGGGGGATCCTGATGCGGAGGGGGCTCAGTGGGGAGGGGTTCCGGGTGCAACAAGGGGTCAGTGTACAGGGAGCTGCTCCACATCCACCCAACCCCTATGCATCCAGATACCCCCCCCGCCCCCGGCGCAGCCAGACACACACACATACATCCCACGGTGCAGAGCTTCCTGCAGCAAGGGGAAGTTTCTGGGGCTTGATCTGACCCAGCCCGGACTGCTCCATGCAGGGAAGGGGGAGGGGGAACTCCGTCCCAGGCGGGGGGGGGAGGGGAGAGAAGGAGGATGGAGACGAACATTCCTGGGTGGCCAGGGAATCCCCAGACCCCTCGCCCCGATTGATTTACCTCTCCCTCCCTGAGCTACCAAGGAGGGGTGAGCGAGTACTAGTGCAGCTTCTCTTTGCTTCCCCACAGAAACCATTTGATCTGCAAGGAAGCAGAGGGAATCTGCGGGGTGGAGGACAGGCATTTTTCTGCTGCGCTGCAGGGGCGCAGACTTTTCCCAGAAGTAAATAACCTCCCTATTTCTACTTGAGATTACCCCGTTTATGCATCCAAGGATCACCTTAGCCCTTTTGACCGCAGCATCTCACTGGGAGCTCATGCTCAGCTGATTATCCATCACGACCCCCCAAACGTTTTTCCGTCGCTGCCTCCCAAGATAGAGTCCCTTATTGTGTAAGTATGGCCTACAGTCTTGGTTCCTAGATCTATCATTTACATTTAAGCATATTAAAATGCATAGTTTGCTTGGCCCCAGTTCACAAAGAGATCCCTGTCGCTCTGTATCAGTAATCCGTACTCTTTATTATTTTCCACTCTGCAATTAGTGTGTCATCTGCAACCTTTATCAGTCAAGATTTTTGTTTCTTCCTGGTCATTGATAAAAATTATCAATAGCGTAGGGCCAAGAACCATTCCCTGCTGGACTCCTCTAGGAAGACACCCACTTGATGGAGAATTCCCCGTTTACTATTACATTTTGAGACCTATTAGTCAGTTTTTAATCAGTTTAATGTGTGTCATGTGCATTTTATGTCATTCTAATTTTTAATCAAAATGTTCTGTGATACCAACTCAAACACCTTACAGAAGTCTATTACATCAACACTACTACCTTTATCAACAAAACCTGTAATCTTATCAAAAAAGATAGCAAGTTAGTTCGACAGGATCTATTTTCCATAAACCCATGTTGATCTGCATTAATTACACTTGCCCTGTTAAATTCTTTACTAATGAGTCCCATACCAGCTACTCCATTGTCTTGCAGGTATGTGTGTCAGGGTTCCAGGCCTATAACTACCCCAGTCATTCCATTTAGTAGTTTTAAATATTGGCACATTAGTTTTGTGGAACTTCTCCAGTGCTCCAAGCCTTACTGACCATCGACACTGATCGTCCAGCGAGTTCCTCAGCCAGCTCTTTTAAACTCTTAGCTAAACCTCTGACAAGACTCCTAATAGCCTGTGCTGTGTTGCCGTGCAACACACCTAAACCTTGTAAGCGGCAATGAATAGCTTCAGCTCGACCCCCTTTCTACGTAATAGGCTATTGGAGCAGGACGCCACAACACTTACTTCCCCCTTTGCTCTTTGAGACACGCCACCACTGGTTTTTGAGCAATGCTGTTCTACTGACTTTCCATCTTTCCTCGTTGAATCATTAAACAACCTTCTCAGGAGATTCCCATTAGTCACGGAACGTTTAAAATCTGATCACTTCAGTCTCTCCAGAGCTCAGAATCTTAGGAACGAGCCAAAAATATCTTCCTCCTTCATGCGCTTTTTGTGCACCTCCATGTGTGCGTAGGAGGGGCTATTCTATTTATTTTTTAACTGAGGCACTTCATAACAAAGTGGGAACAGTGGGAGGCAGGGCAGAATCTCCATGCCTTATTGAGGCTTCATGCTTACATAAGGACAAAAAAAATCTACCTGCGCCACAAGTGAAGCGACAAACCCTGTTCGCTTACAAGAGCTCTCTCCAGCAGGCAGCAATGCACCATGTAGGGTGCTGTCAGGGTGAGGTGCAGGCCCTGGTGCATAGCTGGCCTGGAAGCCAAGCACGTTCTATGCCACCACCACCACCCTGCACACAGCATGTAGCACTGCACTATCAAATGGTTATTTAATATTTTAGCTCACAGGATTGATCTGTATGAAGAGACTCAATTGAACAGTCAGACCACCTCATTCGCCAGCCAGATTACTTTCTTAAAAATACCAGCCGTTAGCAACTTCCAATCGTCCTCCCTTTTTGCTCATTTGGTGTAGCAATT